TATACAGGGTGTTTATAAAGAACACCGAGACACCTTTGGAGAAGACACGAAGATCTTGGAGAAAAGAGTTCGTGTATCCGATACGATGAATTAATAATTTGTCTGTCTGGATTTATATAAAATGGTGGGATACGTTAGATTAGGTTAGGTTAGAGGTAATATTAGGTAATATTCCCGAATTAATTGAAACTCATTCGAGTTGAGCAGTTAAGTTAAGTTGCTCCTCGTTTGCGCACGAAAAAAAAGTATCGATATATTTACTCGCAACATGGTCCAAGGATACATCATTATTATCGAGCAGCGTGTCGTCTCGAGACGAAAACGCGGAGAAGGCATCGACACCTCCCCTCGGAGGAGAAGGGGACCGGACCTCGGGCAACAATGGAGCCATCCCCGGGGATAAGGAGCTATTAATAATTTCGAGCTTGGAGGGGAAGTTCTCTTCGAAGCAGAGGGGTAGGCTGAGCTATTCGTTCCACTCCCGGGAGGCCGACATCTCAATTAGCCCGGCGATGCCACGGCCACCCTCCACCCATCCCTTCCGAATTCCAACGTTCAACGCCCCCCTCGACCCCCTCGCCACGTCTTTTTTCTCTATTATTTTCAAACGTCCCAACGGGGATCGCCCTGAAAAGGGAGGGAGGTGGGGGGGCAGGTGTTAATTCGTCGATTAATTCCAACAATTGTCGCAACTCGATCTCTCGAAACTCGTCCAGATTTTTTTTGATCCTCGAAAAATCTTTGGAATCTCGAAAGAAGATTCGACGGGATTTTCGATGGCAATTATTCGATCATTCCTCCCCGGAGGGAGGAGGGCGATAAAATGTAAATTTCGACCGGCTATTTTTTTTCTCCCGTCCCCTGCAAGGAATCCGAGAACCGATCCGAGGAGGAATAAAAGGGGGAGCTAACGCTCTCCGCCACTCTAGCTCGACTCTAACTGCCTGCCAGGGGGTGGGAGTTGGAAATCTTTGTCGCGGAAATTCAAAGGTATAAAGTGTCGACGAAGCGTCCTGGGAACGCCGACCCTTGTAAAGACGTTGAATTTTATGAAACGTCGAGGGGATTCGGTGAAAATATGTAAATACGCAATAAAGCGTAAGCTCCCCCCTCCTTCTTCCTCTTCCTCTTCTCGCCACGGCCCCCCTTGACAGCGAAATTTCAAAGGGAACCTTCTTATTTCGCCAAATGCTCGAGACAAAGACGAGTCTGCTCCCACGGTTTGCATACACGAACCGGCCACCACCGCTTCCTTCCCGGATCGAATCGATCGGGCGCGAATGTCAACGCGAATGTCGTCTGAAAACTGTGTTCACATTGCTTCTCGATAAATTAATTTCGCATAACTTCCAATTCACGCTCGAAGAATTGAAGAATTTAACTCGGAAGCGTGACAAAATGGCCGGCCCACATCGGTTCCGGGCGTAAATAACGGAGACTCGTCGTTCCGTCCAGCCTTTTACCTCTCCCAGCGTAGCCATCCAATCGTACGAATTGCCGGCATAATAGCGGCTAACAACCGGTTCTCGAGTTAATTTGCGAGCAAGACGGCGCGAGAGCCGTCTCTTTGACAATCGTAACGTTTGCCTCGTTGAAACGACGAGCCCCATCCTCGAGGAAGCAAGGATAGACAACCTTCCCTCCCTTCGCCACTTGTTTCGAATTCTCGTGCACGATTCGAATCAAATTTTTGCGATCGGTCGAAGGCGAATTGGCGTTCTAATTGAGTTATCAGGGAGAAAGGAAGGGAGGAGGAAAATTCCAACGGTTGGACGCGTCTTCCCCTCGCGAACGTTGATTCCGGCCGATAACGAATTCGTTGAACGCGTTTGGAATGCGACGCGAGGCCGCATTAGCACACGCCGGACGTTTCGACCATCGCCTCGGGTCTTTGAGGGTTAATCGCGGCCGCGTTGCGGGATTCCATTAATCGAAACGGCTTTCAACGGCCTTCTCTCCTATTTAAACTACACGCTGATCGATCGTGCTTTCAGAGACGCGCGTATAAGTGAAAAATTTCCCAACGAATTCAAACTGGCTCGCGTTACTTTTACGTGCTTAATTTCGCGCACAGGAGGAGAGGGCAATGTTGCGTTACCTCGGCTAATCTAATTACGCGGGTGGGGAGGGAGAAGCGCGTGACGCTTATGAAAAATTCCAGGCCAGGCCAGGCTGGGTATACACGTATATATATACACGTAGGGGAAAAGCGGGGAACGTTAAATCGCGAGCAAGGCCGCGAAATACGCGCATGAAATTATAACGAATCCGGGAAGGATCTTCCCGAGGGTTGTTGCTTTCAACGGCGGAAAGTAACTGCTGGTGGTGCGCCAGGCCAAGGGGGCGGGCGCTGTTGCACGTACAACCGTGCCGAGCTCGTTACAACTCGGAAAAACTGGAGAATTCAAATGAGTGCCGTGCGCTCGGGGGCGTTTATATGGTAAACAGCCGCCCCTAAGCGATATTTATATCCTCCCCAACGTTCCGTCCGTCCATCGATGGAGCGAGAAAATTTTCACGCTCGATAAACGTTCGTGAAACGTTCGTGTCGTCCCATTCTTCGATTCGATCGAGATCGGCGGACCGAGTCGAGTCTCGTTTCATGGCGGAGGAGAATTGGAAGCCTTTTTTTGAAGAGAGTGTTAACGGCTCTTAACTTTGTTTGATTGCAGTACCATTGGTGAATATCAGCGTGGTGGAAGGGAAGTCGGCCGAGTTGCCATGCGACATCACTCCGCCGGGGGAGGACACCCTTCACATGGTGTTTTGGTTCAGGGACGAGGCAGGAGTACCGTTGTACACGTGAGTGCACACATCCATTTCGAAATCCTTACGAGGAAGGAAAGAAATCCTCGGGGAATTTCTTCTAATGTAAACTGCTGCTCTTTCTGCATCCAGTGATCACGAGCCGTTATTAAACGTGCGTCACTGTTTCCGTTGCCTCTCCAACTCCAAATTCCTTCCCGCATTCCGTTTTGCGAGAGAGAGAGAGAGAGAGAGTTGGCCGCAATAACGCGAGGCCCTCGTAAAGTGGCCGCCTCTTTGCCCACCTCTCCCTTCCGCTCTTCTCCTTCTTTCTCCCTCCAACGAAACTTTACGCGATGGTTAAACGCGCCTCTTAATTGAAACGGTTATTAATTAAAAGGTGCTCGAGGATCGATGCAAAATCGTTTTCTTTTATTTATCTCGACAATTATTTCGCTCGATCTATAATTTTCCCAGCCTTAACGAGCATTGGAAGAAGATTGGAGATATGAATTTATAAAATGCGGCCGAATAATTTTTCCTCGGAGGAATAAAGGTCTCGGGGTGGGAGAATACTCCTCGCTCGACACAATAGGTCGAAACGAACGAGCGTTGAGAGATATCTGTTCTTTCGAAATGGAGCGAAACCGACGACCACGACGAATCCTTCTTAATTGACAATTATCTCGGCCCGATTACTCGTTGTAATTTTCCCGTAACGAGCCGTGAAGCTCGATTTAAATACGCCTTGCTTCACCCTTTTCCGCGAGAATTTTTTTTCCAATCTTCTTTTTTCCCCCCTCTTCTTCCTCCTTTCCTGCGCGTATACGTGAGATCGCGTTACAACCGAAAGAGTGAGAAATAAATAAAAATCGACGAGTAAATTTTTCTTCCTTTCAATAAATTTTCGCGCTCAAGAGCGAGAATTACAGGACGGGGAGGAGGTGCAAAGAAGGGCAACGAGGGATAGGCGCGATCGAGCTTACGTGGCGCGTAATTATAGCGCGTCGATAAATTTGAATCGGCGCGGCACAGGTGGAGCAGCGGGTGGCAGCTTTATCGGCGAATAATTGATAACCGCCGCGACATTCCTCCAAAGCATCCGAGTCGATGTAACTTGCGCGTGATTAATCGTCACCCCCTTTCGATCCCTATGATCTATAAATTAAGCGCCAAGATTCCGCAATATCGGTCCGTTGACACACTTGCAGAGAGAGAGAGAGTCGACGCTTCTTTCCTTTCCTTAAAATTGCTCGCACGGGAAGAATTTCTCGTCTCGATGCGTATACACGAGTCGAAATAAAGCTTGCGAATTCTCGCATCGGTTTCGAAGGGAGGATTGCACGCGAGCGCCCGTTGTTTACGTTAGCTGTCTCGTTAACGAAGTATTTGGAAGCTCGTGGACATATCGATGTTGCGTGCGGCCCACTAATTATAACATACCGTGCGAGGAAGGGTCGAGCTATGCGAGCTATGCGAATGCCTGAACACGCACACGCCCCTTGGCCAACCTCTAAAGGTAAAGGACGATGCGCGCTATCGAGAGAGCTATCGCTTTTGTCAAACATTTATGCTCGCCGGCTTACGAGCAACTCGAAATAATAACGCAAAACGGAGCGTTTTAACTTTTCGAGTTCGAGTGCAACGATTTCTTCCTTTTCCAGCTGCTTGTGGAAGACGATGATCGAGATGTTTCGCGGGATGATCGAGCGATTAAATCGGGCGTCCGATTGATTGGAGGGGCAGCGACGCGGAACGGATGTGCACAATTTGCGCTCGTATCTACAAGATGCGGTGTGAATTCGATCTTTGACACGATGGAAATGCGCTTGAAATGGATCGTGAAATCGCGCGGATATAATTTATGGGGGAAAAAGGGGAATTCTATTCGTCCGTTTCGAGATCTCTCCCTTCCGTTGATCCAGCTGGATTACGCGGCGCCCCCGACTGACCGACCTTGCCCCCCCCAGGATTCCCGGGTCGAAGGCTATCGGACGCCTTTTCGATTCGATCTCGTCTCCCCACAACGAGAAACGTGCACGCTTGAAAATTTTACAACGTCGGGTCGAGGGAATCGGAGGAGGGTCCGAAAATTTTATTCGATGCTCTGCTCTCCCCCCAAGTGTGCGGAAACGGCCGCAGCAGTGGAAAAATGAAAATGGACCATCCGTTCCTTTCCTTTTCTGGCGAAATCGTAAAAATCCGACGAGCGAAAATTAGATCTGTCGTTGGAGGGAGCGAGACTCGGATCGAGAAGTCATAGATTCGACCGCCCCTTCTCCCCCCCCAGCGTAATTTATATTTGGCTAGGATCGAAGCCAGCGCGCTAGATTTAGCATTATTATACGTGTGTACACCTAGGTGTAATCAGATTTATAGTTAACACGCATAAATCTGATTAATTGCGATTACCGGTAATTATCGCGGTGTTCCATGGCTCGTGCGGGTATAAATCAGTTTTCGTTACACGCGGGGCCCCGTTATGGGGTAAAAATTAATGCCACGCAACGCCGGAAACGCCGCTCGTTCGTTCATTGTCCATCCCCGATATCTACTCGTACTCGTAGATTTGTCCCCGTTAAATCCCCGAATGAAATGGGAATCGAACCATTTCCCCTCTTTTCTACCTTTTTAATTTTTCATTCGATCTCTCGATATACATGTGTGTGTGTTTCGCGATCCAATATTCGCGATCATCTGTTATTCTTCGATCCTTATTGTCCTTACCGAACGAAGAGAGAGAGAGAGAGAGAGAAGGGAAATTGAAAATCAATTAAATCTCGCGAATTGCTACGCGTTTTCTCTCTCTCTCTCTCTCTCTCTCTATCGATAATTTTTTCGATCCCCGCGTATCGAAAAAAACGGAACCGTTTAATCAAATACTGTCTCTGTTCCGCATTATTTAAGTAATGCGAGAGGAAGGGAAGAAGCTCGACCGCAAAACGAGGAGATCGCATTGCGCTGCTCCAACCTTCCCTTCAGCTCTCGGTTACGGACCTCATAAATCAGATGCACCGTGTCGTCGTTCATCCCCGAGCTCTATTCCATTCCCTTTGCTCTTAGTGGCTTCTCCCCCACGGCTTTTTCGCCGTCTCCTTTGCTACTCGCCAACACCGCGTTTTACATCACCGAGCAAATAAGCGGTAACATCGAAACACTCTCCCTCTCTTAGTAGCGCTCTGCATTCACTTTGCGACGATAGTCGAAGAAGAATATTGGAAAGTACACGCGTTCGTTCGTGGGCATGCACTATTTATATCCTCGCGATTTCTCGTAACGACATTTGTTTCGAGTGTAAGTGGAAATTAATTCCGGGGAGACGAATCGATATTGGAACGCGTCGTTGTAGTGCCTTGGCTGGCGGAGAGTCGAAAACGCGAAGTACGATACGCATGAAGCACGTTACGTGTATCGGCCACCACCCAACGTGGCAACAATGCTCCCGACGATTCCTCGTCTCCTGTAATTGTGCAACGCGCAGTGGATCGTTTTAACGCGGGGTCGGTCGCAGTTTGTACGGGTTAGGTCGTAAAACGTTTTAGCACGTTCCCGAAACCGAGCCACGAAACAACGCGGGAAAGATCGTTGACACCGCGTAAACCCATGCCGCTTGTTCCCTCCCCTATCCTCCTAACAACGCGCCAAAGGTATTTTCCCTCCTCCTCTTTTTCTGCGTCACACCGCGGCTGTCGCCAGCCACTGTTCAACCAGTCGCTCGTCGATCCCCCCTCCTCCTTCTTTCCTTCCTCTTCCCCCTCCCTCCTTTCTTCTTTTTCCCAGTCCATCATCCCAGTACATCATCCGGTATATCATCTTCGCGTGTATCTATCTCGTTCCAACATTGCTCCGTATTTCCCCCCCCGTAAAGACGATTCCCGTACTTTCGAACGAACTACCAGGAAACTACATTATACTCCGCTACATTATTCATACAAATTTTAACAACGTTGTAGGGAGCGCGCGCATCTCTCGTGCCGAGGCATCCCGCCAGGTGTCGCGCAACGGCGAACAATCCTTTACGAGGCGCTCGTGTCCTCGAGATGGACGCTTGTGGGAAATTGTGAAACGCGCGTTGCGCGTTCGTATTATCGTCGATTTCGTCGCGCGCGTCCCTAAACTTCTGCGTGTAGCTGGTCCCCGTGTAGCGGTTAAGGGAAGAGATCGAAAGGCTCGGCAACGTCGTTATCGTTACGCGGCGTTCTCGACGGCCGTTACTCGGTGGCCGCATTGTGGCCGATAACGACGACGCGAGCCTCCCTCCCTCCCTCTCTCGCTGGCAAACCGGTCGTTTAAGAGGTCGTTTCGTTCGCGTTTTATCCATCGACTCTTAGGCGGCTATCCCTAGTTTTATCGAGCGTTTTTAACGAGAAACTGGCGGCCAATTTGAATTTATCGAAGTCGTAGGAAATGTTTATTTTCTACGAGAGAGAGAGTTTAGGGGAAATTCTATCGAGACAGTTTTTTTTAAATAATTATTAAGGAGGAGGCGAGGCGAAGGAGGATTTTCTTCGCTTGGAAAAATCGGGTCCGGAATTTACGTACCGCCATCTGAAATTCATTTCAGATTTCCGAAATCCCTGGAGGAGACTGGAGAAAGATCCAGAATGAATTGCAGATGCCGGGCCCGCATCGCTGTCATCCGAAAACCTATTCTAGATTTTCAGGAGGAGCTCTATCCGGAGGTATTCCGGAGGAATAAATTGCGGATGCTAATCTAGGATTCGCGGCAACTTTGCCGATCGCTTTTTGTTTGTAAAAAGTGGTGGAGCTGGAGTTTGGGGGGGGGGGACAAGCTGTGATTTTACCTACCGCGAATAATTTGAAAATTTCTTCTCGAAAATTCAACGCAACACGATTATATCGACGAGTTTAGGAAAATATCGTTTACGAAAATATCCGAGTGGCAGCGCGACACGTGGATAGATCTCGTATCTCGAGCATTATTTTTCCGCGATTTCATTGCGTCGGCTTTTCGCGGCGTCAATCATGGGAGAGGTGCAATAACATCGAGCGCGGAGCGCAGTAACAATAACAGCGTGGAATCGGATATCAAATCC